CAAGAACGACAGCGGTGGTCAAAGGTAAAAAGGAACTTCGCCCCAGGTGACATAGTTGTGGTGGTCGACTCCACTGCACCACGTGGCTCCTGGTTAATGGGTAGAATACTGGAGACAAAAGCAGATGCACAAGGCCTTGTGCGTACCGTCCGACTTCAGACCAAAACCAACATATTGGAAAGACCAATAACGAAGATATGTCTGGTGAAAGAAACTGAGATTTAGTAAGGCCTGGTGGTAAGGACCAGATACCACCAGGTGCCATGTTTTGGAGCCCCCGGCCCCAAAAATGACTACTTCAAAAAGGAAGACTGAAGAATCACTGAATAGGATTAATTGCCAACACATTCCCTTATTATTTTTTGGTAATTGTTATAAAAGACAATTAGGGGCCGGTGTGTAGGGGCCATTATGGGTTGTTGTTGGCAAAGCATATTTTGTTTATTAGACTGTATTTTGTGTGTCTGCATCGAAACATCACTCCCACCTGTGCTTGATGGCAAAGAACAACAACGAGCCAGCTAAAGGGGCAGCAAACCTAAGATTGCCATTACAAATCTGTTGGATGATTTCATAAAATCCCCTCTACAATCCGCTTGTTCATGTAAAAGATTTTGATAGACCTTTGACAGCCCAGTATTCTTCTAAACTGAAAAGGAAAAGGAAAATTGATCCTCTTTATTCTTTATATATCCTGGTATTCAAGAAAAATACATAAACTTAATTATATCACTAAGAAATAATTGCACTCAGGATTAACTTTATTTAACAGTATGTGTGTGGTTCTGGAATTTGTTTGAGTTCCTCCAAGTGAGGAGCTATAAAACCTTTGTCCAGCCTTATTGGTCTCCACTGTTGCTCCCACACATCTTCTCACTGCTGTGACCTTGTTACTCCCATAAAACCCTTCAATGCTTCAACACAGATTTATTACGCTTATTCTAGCCGTTGTTGCTTTAAAGACTTCTTCCTGAAGAAATCTTCTTCTTTCTTTAATGCATGTCTACAATTCTACTATTTTTGGACTTTTAAAATTTAATTCAGTTCTTAGTAACTTATTGCTGACCTTTTGCCTTATTATAACAACTTTTATTAACTCTGAATAAACAGGTTGACTGGGCAATTCTCTGATATCTCCAATTATTTTCTTGCTTGTAAACCTTTTGTTGGATCTATGACCCCTAACTGCACTGACAGCTTTTCTGTGTGTGTGTCTCACCCTTATGGTGTTTTCATTAAGCCCATTTGGATGCATTGCTCTTAATGTGCCGGTAATAATGGTAAATTATGTCACTACTGCAGCAACCTTGTCAGTTATGCCCCATTTTTCTGCGATGCGTTTAAGCGCTAAACTGATATTGTCAGCTGTATGCTGCCCATTGAAAGTTTGGGTTTCAAAACAAAATCCCTCATTTCCCAGTTTTCAATCAGATGACATGTTACGGTCAAATATGCCTCTGTGGACACTGAGGTCCACATATCAGTGCAGAGGTACCAACTCTCACGGTTTCGCCGTGTGACACACGCTTTTGCATGTTTTCACACGCACTCACGCCACACAACCAATTTCTCACGGCAAAAAAAAAACATTCTGATTTTGGGCCGAAGCGCCTTCGTTCCTTTTCAAACTCCCCGACGATAGATGGCGCTAAGGAGCGCATCTGTAAACCTATTCGCTGCATAGACATCCCATTTTCCCAAAAGAGTCCCGAAGTCAGCAACAGAAGAAGGTTTTCAAACAGACACTCAGGAGGAGCAAAGACTAAGGTACGTTAATGACATGTGGTTCAATTAAGTACTCACTCTCTTAAACTTTAAATCTGGAAAGAAATTATTAGTTGTGTTTGTGAGTGTGATTTTGAGTGGTGAATGTAAGCTGTCATAACAAGCCTCTTGGTATACTGCACGCTCAAAACATCATAGAATTGCTCACTGTGAGCAGCCTTAATAAACAATGCTTAATAAATAAATTACTAACCAGCTTCTGATCTCCTTCTTAATACCTCATTTTTGTTTTATTTATGTGTATTTATATTATGTGTATACATTGTTTTGCTTTGAAAGGCTACTGTTTAAGCACTTTAAGCACTTTATTTGTTGCACTTTTTTGTTTGATAATGAAAAATATTTTTCCCTAACTAAACTTGTCATTTTTTGCTGAACATAAATCATTAAGTGCTCTTAAGAATACAATTATTAACAATATAGGTTAGTTTTCAGTTAAGAATTGGTTGAATACCATTGTAATCCAAATGTCAATCAACCTAAATTGGTCAAATCTTAACACAGGTCTTTTTATTAGGCAATATAGCTATATTGTGGTACATACACAGTCATTGAGGCACAGCAATAGTTTTCTGGTTGAATGTCCAGCTCAAGTCTAAAAGGCCCCACAAGTCATGAGGAGATGAACATGAATCAGAATAAGTTCAGGCATACCACCCAAAAATCCACTAGAATGCATGAAATAACATCTACTTAAACCCAAATGTCCTGGGGGTGGACCATCAGCTATGTCTTTGCTTCACAGGATGTTATCCATCTCCAGTAGGCCGCCCCTATCAAGACTTTGGGCCCCACAAACCACCAGAATGCAGGGTACAACATGGGTACTACGCCAAATGAATTCCAATTTCCTGATATTTGAGCCACCAACGTGTGTGGCTGCGCGCGCGGCAAGATTTTGGTCACCCCCGACAAAATCTCACTCCAAGGTTCTTTGAAAAGTTGGCAGCTCTGTCAGTGGTAAGTACAACACTAGAAGCATTTTGCAAAGATGCCCTTACTTTGCCTTTGCATTCATCAAACATTTCTACAAGATGGGTCTCTGTCAGTTTCTTTCTGATTTTTGTTACTTATCTCAAAACCATATTCATTACAACTCAAACAGCAACAGTGCTTAGCGGAGCTTAAAGATCCGCATTTTCTCTCTCTGTACCTGGGTAATGTCTACCTGCAGCACCGGACTCCGCCAGAGACGTCTGCCTTGCCCGAGCACCTGACGTACTCTGCTGCTGCTCTTCTGTCCGCCTCTGCGCAAATGTCTCATATTCAGTGTTGTGGTTTGTTCGTAAGTGTTTCACTAGGTTGGTTGTGTTTCCACAACTCTTCACGGTTTTCCCACAGATGTCACACAATGCATCCTGGCTGTTTGCACACATGACTTCTCTTCCGTTCCGCCATTCCCTCTGTCTGAGAGAGCGAGCGGCAGCGTCGTGCCACTGCGTTTACGTATTAGTCACTTACCCAGTGAAAAAGTAGTCCCTACCAGCGGCGTGTCATTTAGACAAGACCTGAATAGTTTAGTTACTTTCCACCAAATTCCTGTTAATGATATACATTACCACAGAAGTATCAAAAGTATCGATATTTTCATTTAAAAATCGATTTTAGAGCATACAGATCTGGTATCGGAAGTATCGATGTTTCAGTATCGATCCGCACATCACTAGAAAACACCTTCGAGCGCGAGCAGGGACTAACCTCGCGAGCGAGGAAGTTCACGCTCCGCGAGCGAGCAAATATCTTGCGCGAGATGAACTTTTGTTCTCTCAAGCGAGCGGATGTTTGATTTACGCGCGCGGATCAACCTGATTTGCGCTCTCGAATTTTGACAATGATTTGCCGCCATACACCGACCTGACATGACATTTAGCTGACGTGTGCTTTTTCCCGGGGAGCAATTAGGGGTTTGGTGTCTTGCTCCGGGATACTTCGACATGGGGCAGCCGGGGCTCAAACCACCAACCTTGCGGTTCCCAGTGAACCCTCCCTACCCTTGCGCCACGACAACTCCCCATACAAAAATAAATGAATAAAAAAGTTATCCTCTCCCGAACCACCAAAACCATAATGCTATCCTCTGAAAGTAATTACTGAACAGGTGACATAAATTTCCCTCAGCCATATAAAGTACTACAACAAGTATCTATTTCTATCTATTTAGTGCAGTACTTTAATTATTCTTGATAATTTGGGGGTTATGATATAAATGTTTATTATATGTTATAAATCCTCGCCCCCCCACCCCCACCCCCCCCTTATCCTCCTCCTTTCAACTCCCCCCTTCGTCCTCCTCTCCTCCTTCTCTTGTAGCTCAGACTGAGGATGGATGACCCGGATCGAAGAAGAACCAGAACCAGACGCCAACAGACTGTTCCGCGTCACTTCCAAGCTAAACAAGCTTTAGTGTGTTTGTGTGTGTGCGTGTGTTTGTGTGCACGCGCCGAATTTCTCTCCTTAGAGTTTCGCTGAGTTTACATCCGGGTTTTTTCCCTAGGCAATGGGAGTCGCAGCACCGCCGTTCCTTAGGCAAAGTGAAATAAATTCGCGGCACCGACACAAAAAGTAGTCCGCCTTTCTAACACATTTTCTTCGGGTCTTGCGCCGCCGATCGGTTCGATTTGACGAACTTCAACGGTGCGCGCGAACGCGCACAGGTCGATTGCTTCGTCGCGGTGCCACGCGTGCCTGCCGCACGCGCGAGTAGTTTCTCGCTAGCCCCTTCCTCCAGCTCCGCGGCGCAGGGATACGCGCGGTGCTTCGGCTGAGCTGAATGAGATTGAAGAAGAGTTCTTGTTTTGTAGCTTCAGTTTCTCTGTTTTTACACTAATTTTTAACCAAAACTAAATATAAAATACGGCAACAACATAAAGCAGCGCGGGAAAGTGTTGAGCCGGACTCCTCCTCCATGCTGTTGTTCCATCGTGGATCGGCTCCTTACACATTTATATATATATATATTATATTAATCTAGAGGAGGACTGCTGCTGAGTAAGTGTACATTGGGCTTTTTTAATTTCATAACTTTCATTTTCCGTGTTGCCAAACTTCACCTGTGTGCCGCCGCCGGTCCCCATCGGTGCGTTGGCTGCTGTGTGCTAGCGGGCAGGTGTGCGAGCCAAGCCGGCCGGTGCGTTCACCAGGGTCCCCCGTGTTTCTATGTGTTTTAGCTGGTGAGTGTTTTTTATTCTAGGAGTTGGTATTTGTGGAGGACAAGGGGGCCGAGGGATAACTTGGACCCACCGACTCTCGGTGTCGGGATTTCTGAGAAATGGCGTCCCGTCCGCGAGACCCTTCCTGCGTTATTTACCCCCTCGTATGGCCCGTCTTTGTGTGGGGTTTTCTCTGTCAAATTGCCGCCGAACGACTCGATTATTGCTCCTTTCGGTGCAAGTTATCAGCGTGGCTAGCTAGCGTTAGCTCCGCGGCGGCTAGCAGGAGGCGCTAGCCTTAGCAGCTAACGCTACATCCACTTGTTCTCCGTAACATCTCGCAGCGGAGCAATGTCGGAGGGGTCCGTCTGTTCGGACTCTTCTTTTATCAACATGGGGGACGTGAGGGACGCCGATGGACGGTGTGGTTCACCGGAGAGGCTCAGCGGGTGTTTGATCCGCTGCATATGGACATCCAGGCGGCCATAGTGGCTTAATAGCAAGGTTATAAAACATTTATTCCTCCGCCGAAACAAAAACAACACTTTGTCAGTCTTCTACCGCAGCAAAGGCTCTCATCTTAACCCTCCATTTTAAGCTTCATTTCGGGGCCCTTTGCAACGGCATGTGATGCTGATGGAAGTTTATCCGGACAACTTGGTGTCCCACCCGGGGAACAATTACTCCAAATTAACAGAGGTCCCGGTACCACCTGTACACACCCTACAAAGTACTTTTACAACATGCCTGCGTAACGGCAGCCTTTTCAGGTACATGCCTTGAATATTTTCATGCACAGTGCTGAAATGTACTCTTATTTACTCAAGTACTGTTTTTTTTTTCTCCTACTCCTCTACATTCAAGATATTCATATTGTACTTGTACTGCTGTATCACATTATTTCTTAGACTACTGTTTTTTAACACAAGTTTAATGTACTTGTACATGCAATTGATGCCGGTGGAAGTTTATTAACGGATGAACACAAACTACAGGGACTTAACAACTTTTTAGGCAAGAGTCTGGTGTGAAGAGAGTTTAGTTGTAAAGGTCACAACCTCTCGCAGGCTCACTCAGTCCTTCTAAGGTAGTTGTACTCAATATCTCCATGATATTTTCTACCGATGCGGCTACTTTATGACATTTTATAGAGGAGTACTTTCGCTCGTTAGGGTTGGTACTTGTTGGTAATGAGTTTTTTCCATTTTTTATGGTAGTACTACTTGTATTCCATATTATCTCAGAGAAACTGTACTGTATGTTTTACTGCTACTTATCTGACATCTTCAATAATATTAAGATAGTACTAATATTAATACTTTTTACCTCTTACTATCAATTCTATAACTGCACAAACATAATCCCACTTACGTACTTTTACTACCACAGATACTATAACTACACAAAGATGATACTACTTTTACAACTACAAATACTATAATTACAAAGAGAAGCCTACTTATGTACTTTTACTACTACTGATTACATAAAGGTGATACTACTTACGTACTTGTACTACTACAGATATTATAATTACACAAAGGTGATACTATTTATGTACTCTAAGTGCAGATATTTCTACTACAAGGAGATTACATTAGGGGTCTCCAACTCCAGCCCACGGGCCACATCCGGCCTGCTGCCGGGGGTTACCGACTTTGGCCGGTCAGACCGTCAACGACGTCCCCACTGAACCCACATGGCTCCTGTAGCTGTGAATGGATGAATGTTAGTCACTGATGGCCAGGTGACACTGTGTGGTAGCTGCTGTCATCAGGCTGTGAATGGGTGAATTCACATTCAAGTAGTATTCAGAGTTACTTTCCACACTTCAATTAATATTTTACTTTAGTTTGTGTGTGTGGAAAATTACATTACATTACATGTCATTTAGCTGACGCTTTTATCCAAAGCAACTTACAATAAGTGCATTCAACCATAGGATACAAACTCAGAAGAACAAGAAACAAGAAAGTGCAATTTCCTCAAATAAGCCAATTTACAATTTGCCAGATGAGTGGCTATAAGTACAATTCAAGTGCTACAATTTGTTAGTCTTTTAGTCAAGGTAGAGTCTGAAGAGGTGTGTCTTTAGTTTGCGGCGGAAGATGTGAAGGCTCTCTGCGGTCCTGGTGTTTTCAGAGAGCTCGTTCCACCATTTTGGAGCAAGGGCAGCAAAGAGTGTTGACCTAGTCGAGTGTTTTGCTCTCAGTGAAGGAGGGACGAGCAGTTTTGCAGATGCAGAGCGGAGAGTGCGGGTCGGGATGTCGGGTTTGACCATGTCCTGGATGTAAGCTGGACCCGATCGATTCACAGCATGGTACGTGAGCACCAATGTTTTGAACTGGATGCGGGCAGCCACCGGTAGCCAGTGAAGAGAGCAGAGGAGTGGAGTAGAGTGGGAGAATTTCGGAAGGTTGAAGACCAGTCGAGCTGCTGCATTCTGGATGAGCCGCAGAGGTCGAACAGCGGTAGCAGGGAGACCTGCAGGAGGGAGTTGCAGTAGTCCAGGCGTGAGATGACAAGAGCCTGAATCAGTACCTGGGCAGCCTTCTGAGTGAGAAGGGGACGTATTCTCCTGATGTTGTAGAGCGTGTATCTACAGGATCGCGTTGTCACAGTAATGTTGGGAGTCAGGGAGAGTTGGCTGTCGAGTGTGACCCCGAGGTTCCTACCGGTTAAAGTGGGCGTTAGCATGGAGTTGCCAAAGTTGACTGTCAGGTCCTGGGTCGGAGAGTCTTTTCCTGGAAAGAGAAGTAGTTCAGTCTTGTCGGGGGTTGATTTTCAGATGGTGGGCGGACATCCACTGAGAGATGTCAGTCAGACAGGCAGAGATCTGCGCCTGGGTGTCCGAGGGAGGGAAGGAGAGAATTAGTTGGGTCTCATCGGCATGGCTGTGGTGAGAGAAGCCATGCGAGCGAATGACAGCGCCGAGAGAGTTGATGTAGAGCGAGAAGAGAAGGGGACCCAGGACGGAACCCTGAGGAACTCCAGTAGAGGACACGGTTCCGCCACAGATCCTCAAATAAATATTCCTATTTTATAATCAAACAAATGAATATCCATGAAATATAATCACAAATAGATATTTGAAGATTGATCATTCTGAAATATAATCTCACATCACAACAAGTTATTGATACAGAAACCGATGTATCCAAGTTACATATTTCTTATTGATCACAGGCTGTTAACGCGGTGCGTTTTTCATGTTTAACAGGGCAGCACGGGAGGTGGAGTCCAGTTCCACAGCCAGGCGGTGAGTCTTATTAAGATACTAACAATATTAAAGTTATAAGAAACTGAAAAATAATTATCACGCATCCCTATTTTTAATGTTTTATTTATTCTATTTGATTATATAAACTTTACGTTCAAACATTTTTACTTCAAAGTTATATTTGACATGAAATGCGTAAATAATCAGAGGTAAATATTGTTTTTGAAACACAAAGTACCTCAACCTGGCTTTGTGTTGATAAAATGTAATATTAAAATGATCTCACTAAGAATGATGGATATTTCATGGTTTTTACGTCAACACGGGGAGTTGTTTAGTACGAATGTAGGAACATAATTTCCAACATGTTAAGTTTGATGAAAGAGTTCATTATATGTGTTACACACACACTGCAACAGGCTCCGTTCAGGTGTGTTTTATTCTGCAATAATAACAGACAGTCAGCAACAATCAGAATCAGAACGACTGTGTGTACTTCCCGACGCGGAGTCACTTGCTCTGCGCAAATGTTACAGCGCCCGTCAGGCCTACTAAACCCGCTACCGCCACCTGTTGGCGGAAACGAGTGCTGCACCACTGCCACTGCAGGGGGAAGGAGGCAGGCTCAAAAAGTTACACGAAGGATTTCTTTACACAATAATCAAAACAAACACAATGACAGGGGATTGGCACTAAACAATACAATTCAAAGAAACAATGGAGGTCCTTAAAAATGTCCGGGGTGCCACATATGCACTAATAAGGAGAGTTACCATCATAGCATGAAGGTTTTGTTTCATAATAACCAAGCGTTCTGTTTTTTAAAGTGTAACTGTTTGTTTCCAGCGGCACTTTAATGCTTCAGGTGGATGGTTTTCCTTCTGGAGACGTTGTTAAGGTAGAAGTACTCTTATTAATAAACAGTTATTTATACTGTAACATGTTGCCCTTATTACGGTAGTAATAATATGAGGCCCTGACGCTGTGTGTGTGTATGTATGTATGTGTGTGTGTGAGAGCAGGCTGATCGATCGGCTGGCAGACTGACTGGATCTATGATGGAGCTCCAGATGTTACAGGAGGCTCTGAAGGTGGAAATCCAGATCCATCAGGTGAGTCCAGGCCCCCGTCTATCGTACGTGGTCCAACTAAGTCAAATCAAAGGTCCCATTAGCTAGTTACATTACATTTAACTGACGCTTTTATCCAAAGCGACTTAAAATAGGTGCATTCAACCATAGGGATATTATTTGTTAGTCTTTTAGTCAAGGTAGAGTCTGAAGAGGTGTGTCTTTAGTTTGTGGCGGAAGATGTGAAGGCTCTCTGCGGTCCTGGTGTCTTCAGGGAGCTCGTTCCACCATTTCGGAGCAAGGACAGCAAAGAGTCGTGATCTAGTCAAGTGTTTTGCTCTCAGTGAGGGAGGGACAAGCAGTTTTGCAGATGCAGAGCGGAGAGTGCGGGTCGGGATGTCGGGTTTGACCATGTCCTGGATGTAAGCTGGACCCGATCCATTCACAGCATGGTACGTGAGCACCAATGTTTTGAACTGGTTGAGCCACCGGTAGCCAGTGGAGAGCGGAGGAGTGGAGTAGTGTGGGAGAATTTCGGAAGGTTAAAGACCAGTTGAGCTGCTGCATTCTGGATGAGCTGCAAAGGTCGAATGGCGGCGGCAGGGAGACCTGCCAGGAGGGAGTTGCAGTAGTCCAGGCGTGAGATGACAAGAGCCTGAATCAGTACCTGGGCAGCCTTCTGAGTGAGAAGAGGACGTATTCTCCTGATGTTGTAGAGCGTGTATCTACAGGATCGTATTGTCACAGTGATGTTGGGAGTCAGGGAGAGTTGGCTGTCGAGTGTGACGCCGAGGTTCCTAGCGGTTAAAGTGGGCGTTAGCACGGAGTTGCCAAAGTTGACCGCCAGGTCCTGGGTCGGAGAGTCTTTTCCTGGAAAGAGAAGTAGTTCAGTCTTGTCGGGGTTGATTTTCAGATGGTGGGCGGACATCCACTGAGAGATGTCAGTCAGACAGGCAGAGATCCGTGCCGCCAGCTGGGTGTCCGAGGGAGGGAAGGAGAGAATTAGTTGGGTGTCATCGGCATAGCTGTGGTAAGAGAAGCCATGCGAGCGAATGACAGCGCCAAGAGAGTTGGCATAGAGCGAGAAGAGAAGGGGACCCAGGACAGAACCCTGAGGAACTCCCGTAGTAAGAGGACATGGTTCCTACAAAGATCCTCGCCAGGTTACCCGGTAGGTGCGGCCGTCGAGATAGGACAAGAGAAGGGAGAGAGCAGAGCCTGAGACACCAAGTCTGGTGGTTGACTGTGTCTAATGCAGCAGAGAGGTCCAGAAGGATGAGGACAGAGGAGAGAGAGGCGAGCCGCGGTGTGGAGTTGCTCTGAGACAGCAAGGAGAGCAGTCTCTGTGGAATGGAATTGAAGCCTGACTGGTGGGGGTCAAGGAGGTTGTTATGGTGGAGATAGGAGGAGAGTTGGTTAAAGATCGCACGTTCAAGAGTTTTGGACAAAAAGGGAAGAAGAGAGACTGGTCTGTAGTTGTGTTCTTCAGAAGGGTTGAGGGTAGGTTTCTTCAGTGGGTTAACTCTTGCCTCCTAGTATTCCTAGAGAACTGGGAAAACTGCCAGACGATAGAGCATTTTTGATGAGACAGGTGTAGAAAGGAAGAAGGTCAGGTGCGATAGATTGTAGAAAAGATAGATAGAAAAGAGTTTATTGGGGTAAGAAAATGAAGATTCAATTCTGGATTGTGAGCTTTTCGCAGCAGAGCTAGAAGCAGAAAAAGTGGAGAGAAGAGATTGAAATTCAAGCAGGTCATCAGGTCGTTTATATTTACGCCATCTCCTTTCCGATGCTCGCATGGTGGCTCTCATGGCACCGGTTGAGACAGCCACGGAGCTGGCTGATTTGCCAGCCCGTTGTGTCGTAAGAGGGCAGGATGTAGTCAAGGTGATTGCCGGCTTTGTGAGTAGGAGGAGAGGGACTAAGTGACAGCGCGAAAGAAGAAAGTAGGTGTAAGAGGTTCAAATTAACCCAATGATTGAAGTCAGGCTATCTCGGTTCCTCAAAGGTTGATCAAACAGTCTTGTTAGTTTGAACCAGACTTCAGTCATCAGGATAATCGCACGTGTGCGTCCTACTTCCAAAGGGAGACGAGTAAATCACCAAAACCATGATTCTCTTAACGGCAAATCAAGTCAAAAGACGAGTAGATGATGATGATGATGATGATGAATATGTTCAGTACCCATAATATGTGTATTTGTCGTATGAATTGAACGTATTGTGCATCTTTTACGTAGTTCATTCTTTCCACATGACACCCATCACAGTACATGGATCCTTCTCTGTCTTAAACGTTTCTTCAACCCATCGCAGGGTTGTTTGGGCGGATCAGTATGTTTGTATTACATTACATTTACATTACAAGTCATTTAGCTAATGCTTTTTATCAAAAGCGACTTACATTGGATTTTATATGCATGGCTTTTTTAACATTTTTGCCTTGGGGAGCAATTAGGGGTTAGGTGTCTTGCTCCGGGACACTTCGACATGGGACATGGAGCAGCCGGGGTTCAAACTCCCAAGCCTAATTACTCATAATCATACATTTCAATTGAAGCAGTGAGACATGAAACATCCAGAAGTTTATCAAGCAAAAAATAAACTTTACAAAGAGCACGACATGCAGCGTCTTTCACGATTTTATGTGGGACATTCTGTGAGACAGTGAATGCTCGGCTGCGGCGTGTGGTGTTCAGCATGTATGGCTCAAGTATATAAAAATAAATAAATGATTCCTGTCTTCGGCATCGATGGCACTTGTACAGGAAGTGATGTCGGAGAACTCTCTCTCTATAAGGCGTTAATCTATATATACACTGTATATTTGTGTATGTATATAATAACAATATATGTCCATATACAAATGTTTATATGCAAAGTTGTAACCCTGGAAAGAGTGAAAAAATGAAGAGGAAATAATGACAATGACCAAAAGATGTAGAAATATCAAATTACTTAAACGGGTAAAAACAGCTGAATAATGGATGAATTTAATTAGCTTGCGTATGGTGAGTATTCACTTCTTTTTAGTCCCTCATTTGAACGTCTTCCTGGATGCGACCTCTCGAAATGAGATCATTCTAGTATAATCTAGTTATTCGATTTCGTCAAATCATCTTCAGTAACAAATTGAAAATAAAAGTTTGAAAAAACATCCTTATGTTTGTGTATAGATTTAATATTCCAGGATTATCACACGTAAGCCTCATTGTTATTTGAACTGTGTCTTTAATGAGACAAGTGTTGACCACAGAGGACCTGAAATCATGGAGATCACAATATGACAACATGATCGTATTCCTCTCACACCATCAGTAGGCCTGAACTGCTGTTGACCAGCAGGTGGTCCTGTGGTTTCTGACTCTCTCCTCTTTTTCTGCAGAAACTGGTTGCCCAGATGAAGTTGGACCCTCAGGTAAACTGGGGCTCGCGTGTTTGCTTTTGTCTGTGATGTACCGATGTTCAGTAGCCGCTTGTGAACGCACCACATGATGCCGTTGGTTTCCTGTTTTCAGAATGCAGATCTGAAGAAGCAACTCCACGAACTTCAAGCCAAGATCACGGCCCTCAGTGAGAAGCAGGTACGTCAAATGTATTCATTTGGAACCAGACCTTCTAACAGTACAACTAGAACCAGAGTGGTACAACTAGACCTGCTAAGGGTGGAACCAGACCTACTACTGAACGAGACCCTCTAGAGTTAGTACTAGACCATCTTGTGGTGGACCAACCCTTCTGTGTATAGAACAGGAAAGTCCTCATTCTCCATTACAACGCCTTAATAAAGATTTATTATTTGTTTGATAGTTGTGTTGTGTTGTGTAGCAGCAGCCAATAGGATTAAGCTTGAGACACAATCAGAAAGTCAAACAAAGTTGGGGGACAGAGTATTTTGGTTGTTTTTAGAATGATGGAGGAAAATAAGCAAAGTCTTACGTTAAAATTATCATTGAGGTGCATGCTGGGATATTCCTTACTCTCCAAATGGAATCCAGTGACCTCACCGACTCTCTTTCTGATGGAGACCAGTGACCTCATCAACTCTCCTAGTGGAGGGTTTACTCTCTTAACCTGCTGTTTCCTCTCTCCCCGTCTACACTCCTGTTTCCTCTCTCCTCTCCTGCAGAAGAAGGTGGTGGAGCAGCTGAGGAAGGAGTTGTTGGTGAAAAAGGTGCCGGATGCGAAGCTGCAGCTGCACGTCCAAACTCCTCCAGCAGGGGGTGACATTAAGCCGGGCAACCTGCTGCAGAGCCAGCAGATACCTGGAGGACTGCAGCAGGTAGGACGCACACACACACATTATACACAATCTCTCACACACACACACACACAATATACACATGCATACATTTATAAAGAAACTAAGAAAACATATTTAATCGTGCAATCAGATTAGTTTGCTGAAATTAAGGTGAAAGTTAACACTTAGTTAACAATTAAGAGATAATTACCTTTCTGTCTAGCTAGATTTACAAAAACTGACAATTTAGTATCCAGTAAAAGTGGAAATGTCATACACACTAATTATTGAAAATCAAATGACGGCAAACTATCATGCAGAGTTTAAGCTCCAACCTTCCTTCTGTAACATGGCATGCTGGGTAATGTAGGAAATAGCTGGCATTAGCCGAGGCTAAGAGTCACTCCGATGTAGATCCATAACTGTCCCTCTGTCCACAGACCCTGACGTTCACGCCGGTCCTGAAAGCCGCTGCCGAACCGCCCGGCTCAGTCCCGCTGCATCGCCCGCCTGCTGTCGCCATGGTAACCACGGCTATTCCCAAACCTGACCTGCAGAACACTCCCATCAACCTGCAGGTGGTCAGCAAGTTGACCAATCAGAGCTCAGAGCCGGTGCGACTGGTGTCAAAGAACACCATGGTGGTAAGACGCTCCCCTTCCTGTCACATGTCTGTTCATGTCTCTTAGAAAAGGACCAGTAGAGGTCGAAGAAAGGAGTTGTTTGATCACAACGTCCTGAGTAGCTTCAGTCTCAAGTCCCATTAGAAAGAAAATCCTCCATAACAACAGCAGAAGTCTCGGTGTAGCAACCACCCACGTGTTGATGTAAACAAATGTGCAGGTGTAACAGCACCACAGATCCACATCTGCTGTGGTTTTGTCTCAGGTGTAGGCCACCACCAACACCACCACTCAGCCAATCAAAGTTTCTCAGTTTGTCCCTCCTCCTAGACTGATGCCTCGACCCACCTTTCAGCCACAAGTGCGTCCCCAAACTCCCCGCCTCTGACCCTAACCCCCTCAGACCGGTGTGTGTGGTCTCCCCTGAGATGACCCGCTCCCCCTCCAGCGGGGGGGAGCAAAGCAGACACTCATGCCTTGCTCGATGACACTAAAACATTGTTTGCTCTTTGCTGCCTCTACTCATCTCTTGTCCTCTCGTTGTGCTTCTTTATTCAATTAACAACTGTGTGTGTGTGTGTGTCCTGCAGCTTCTTGATATTTTGTGTAACCCTTCACCCTTTTAAATGGATGGGTGATGTTTAGCTGTGTTGAGTGATGCCACTGAGAGCACCTGGAGTATTCTAATACTCTTATATTCAAATCAAAATGACTTGGATGTAAATGCCAAAGTCACCACAATAAAGCTTAGGAAGCTTTATTTCACCATTTGAGACTCGGTTCCAAGATTAATATTTAATAACTAGAGATGGATGTCATCGTTTCAATAACTTGCCTTGAAAAACATTAGTGTATTAGTCGTAGTATTAGTATCAGAAGCCATGGTGGTAGTCGTAGTATTAGTAGTAAAATCCATTGTGATAGTCGTAGTAGTAGTAGTAGAATCCCTGGTCGTTGGTGGTAGTAGTAGAATACGTGGTGGTACTGATACAGTAGAGCTCCACATTGACGTTACCTAGTTCTTCCCTCTCTCTGGTGCTGCTCTCTGATTGGCTGGCTATTGTCCACAGGTCAGGCCGAAGCCAGCCACAAACGTGCACATTGCCCTGGCCCCTCCCCCCCCCATGATGGCAGCCCCCCAACTGCTCCAGAGGCCTGTCATGCTGGCCACTAAGCTGTCGTCCTCGCTGCCCTCGGCGGCCCCCATCCACCAGGTCCGCATCGTCAACGGGCAGCCATGTGGCCAGGTTGGCGCCGCTGCGCTCACGGGCATCGTCATCACAACGCCGGTGACCGCTGGTCCCACCCGCCACGCCAGCCCCGCCCAGGCGCTGGGCCTTACGCCCTTCCTCACCCCGACTCCCGCCAAGCCTATCCAGATAAGCAGTCTGATTGCCGAGCCCAAGGTAGGAGACCCCCCCCCACCCTCCCTCTGGAGTTTACCTGTCCCACAAACCCTGAATACATTGCGTGTGACCAAACAGTCACTGATACATTACATTACATGTAATTAAGATGACGCTTTTACCCAAAGCAAAACCCAAAGGAAACCTCATCAAAGCCATTTTATTCTATCTGTGTCATTTAGAAGCTCTCCACTAACAAAATGTCCCTGAACTTCAGAAAGTGGACACAGAGCAGAGGATGGAAATCTGTAAATAGTTTACCAGTTACTGTGGGACTTGTCGACACTTAAAACATGTGAGATATTTAGATTTTTTGGTTTTACAATTTATATAAAATAAATGATCAAAGAAAGTCAACACAATTATTTTTTTTATTTTTTTGCACTGAAGCCATGATTGAGTTCTAATTCTAGTCATCATGGTTCTATAGAGGAGCAAGACTTTTATTTTGAAAATCAAAAAGCCCATAAACTGTGAGTTCAGAGGGTTAAAGGTGATGTTCTTCTTACTGATCACATGACTGAATCTCACCCTGTCCTCTCAACAGACTGTTAAAGCAGCTGTAGGAGGAGCAGAGCAGAAGGTTGTCATCAGCATCTCCTCCTCTTCCTCTCCCCCGCTGTCGCCTCCTCCTCCCAGAACCAAGAAGGAGGAGAACCCAGAGGTCTGTACCGATGGCTGGAGCACAGCTGCTAGTCGCCGTGGCAACTTGGTGACAAATATTCACTGATAGACAATAGAGGATCAGTTTTTAGGTACTTTAGAAACAGGAAGTGTTGAAGATGGAAATTCAACCTTGGTTTCTTTACAACTAGTGGTGGGCATAGATTAATTTCTTTAATCTAGATTAATCTCACTGTAATCTTGGAATTAATCTAGATTAAAATGGCTCATTTGAATTCTGCCGAAGGCATTTAGAATATGTGTACTACCCAAATAATTACTAAAAGTAAGTCTTTGAGAACAGGTTTCTCAAGCCAGGTGGCACATTAGACCAGGGGCTCATCTCCTGTTTCCAAAATGCATCACAAACTGCTTGAGAAAGCTGTTCTATTATGATAATTGGTGATGAAAATAAATCATGCTCAATAAAATGTACTTGTGTTTACTAACTGTTTATTCAGTTAAACATTAATTTTGAACTGTAGAGGTCGTACATAAGAGGTCGTGATGAACTGTTTACAGTCAGTAGCTTTGTGTCAATCAGTCCAAGCTCTATTTGTCCTTCTTCCACCAGTCACTCAGGCAGACTAGCTTGTTCACATTTTCTGTTGACAAACTAGATCTTCTCTTCTGCACAATATGGCCTGCTAAAGAAAAAAGTCTCTCGCATGGGACCGTTGTACCAGGAGTCCCCAAGTATTTACGGGCAATGTGGGACATCTTACCAAAGACAGCAGTGTGCTCCGACCACCACTTCAGTGGACACTGATCAAGACTGGAACTGGGCTCTACCTTGTACTTCTCCACAGTATTGTCTTCTGGTGTCTCCCCATCTGATTCTGTATCTGATCCCATCAGTAGCAGGGCTGTTTTCTTCTTGGGTGGCTCAGGGTTCTCCTCCCTGAGTGGCTGCAGAGCAGGTTCTTCTTCCTTCACCAACTCACTTAACTTTGCCCACGCTTGCTCCTTCTCTGCTCTGGGCAAGCACTTGAGGTCCTTAAATCGTGGATCTAGAGCAGTCGCCACCTTTGATGAATAAAAAATTAATAATTATTGATTGATGAAAATTTCACTTCCCAAATCCAACCTCCATATTTCTTCATGACTCATTCGTCTATTCATTGACCGATCTACTGGCTTAACAGTCTATAATGGTCAAACAATGCAGTTATCTTCTGGTCAGTCTGACAATACCTTAAGCCATTCCAGGTTTATTTTCTCCCTCTGCTGGTTGAGGTCATTGGTGAAGGCAGCCTTGAATCGCACAATATAGGCAGGATCATCATCTAAGATCTTCATCGCATGCTGGAGGTGGCACAGGGCAGGTAGAACCACAGAGTAGGATACATACTTATCACCACCAAGGAGCTTAGTGATGTACCTACACAGACAGACACACACACACACACACACACACACACACAGACAGACACAGATGGACACACACACACAGACAGACAAACAGACACACACACACACACACAGACAAACAGACAGCCACACACAGACAGACAGACAGAAATAAAAAAATAAAGCAATACAATAAAATAATTAACTAGAAAAAGCATTTCCTGCTGAAAATGCGTTGGAATGCAAAAAGCTGAAAGCTGCACTGAATATTTAAAAATAGCTGAAAATACAGAAAGTTGAAGGGAATTTGAATACATTTGCTGAAATGACAGATATTAGAAAAGCTGAAATGAATTTGAAATTGCTGAAAATACGGAAATGGGAGAAGCTGAAAGGAATTTCAATAAATTTGCTGAAAAAGCTGAAATGAAAACAGCTGAAATAAATGTGAAATCTTGCAAAAAAAATACAGAAATGAATATTAAAACATTGCTGTTAATAGAGGCATAGGAAAAGCAGAAATTATTTTAAAAAGCTGAATTTCAATAGATTTGCTGAAAAAGCAGAAATTAAAACAGCTGAAATAAATGTGAAATCTTGCAAAAAAAAATACAGAAATGAATATTAAAACATTGCTGTTAATAGAGGCATAAGAAAAGCAGAAATTATTTTAAAAAGCTGAATTTCAATAGATTTGCTGAAAAAGCAGAAATGAAAACAGCTGAAATAAATGTGAAATATTGCAAAACAAAACAGAAGTTGCAGGAGCTTAAATGAATTTTAAAAAGTACAGAAATAACAAAAGCTGAGACGAATAAAATGAGGTTTGAAGTTGTTTGTAGTAATATTAGTAGTAGTATTAGTTATAGTTGTAATTGTGGTATTAGTAGTACTAGCAGTAGAAGTTGGTTTAGTATCAATAGCAGTAGAAACAGCTGTAATACTAACACTATTAGCTGTGGTGGAAATTTGTGGATTTAGCCCATGTGAGAAATCAAAAGTATCTTGAGCTTGGTTTGTGATTAAGTATTTATTACTAACTAGAATATAGAAAAATGATAAAGAATACAGAAATCATCAGCACAAGCCGTAAGCACAGACAGAAGTCAAATGACTACAATTCAGCTGAAAAGGGACAGAAAGTTCCTTCCCCCAAAAGGAGCAGGAAGATCTGACAAAGTTTCTGGGGGGAACCAGGAGCTTTTATACATCACTGAAGGTCCGAGGAATGGTAACCAGATGTTTTTTCGGGAACCTCCGCGACACTCCCTTAGTGGGACCAAATCAATCATTTAGACAGAGAGGAAAACAGAGGAGAAAGGTAAATAGAAGAACATGATATGGTCTGTCCAAGCCACATATGGATTTCATCGTAGACTAGGTCAGGTCACGAGTTTCCCAAGAAAGGTCACATACAAGTTCTTGAGACTCTCACAACATGCACCTCAACAAATTCTCCCCCGACATCCCTCTCTTTTTGTCATTCTTTGACAACTAAGAAATCAGGAAAACGTTAATCAATTAAAAATCAAGAATGAAAAATGAAACATAAAAAATCGTAGAACATACATCATTAACTCAAAGTACATCAGAACATTTACTAACCACTAACACATAAAATATCGTCCAGTTACACACAATATTCACAGTCGTCACTGTCAAGGCTATCCGGATATGGTGGAGTCCATCTCTGAACTGGACGCTGCGTAGTAATACTCATGTGTCCAACTGATACATAAGTACTGACAACCTTCCTTACAAAGAGCTCTAAAACAGTTACAATTAGGGTTAAAATAATTACAGACAAAATTATGCCCCCTCGTTAGCAGTTTCTAGAAGAGAGAAGTTCCCCGTGATCCAACTCGTGCCTGTATTTCCCCAAAAGGATTCCATCCGTGGTCTTCATGCAGCTCCTTAATGCCTTGTTCTGTGTCTGCCACCACATCATAAACTGATGATGTTGCATCAGAGATGTAAGTGCAGCATTCAGTGTTAATTACCTTGCATACCCCGCCTTGTGAGGCCAAAACGAGGTCCAGAGGCCTTCTATTTTGTAATACCATGTGTTTGATGTAATTTACTCCCTTTTGCATTTCGGAAAGTGCTTTTGAAGTCTTATTCCTGTGTCTTTCCAGTACTGTTGAGAGTGCCATTATTTCCTCCTGGCTCCTGTAGGTGCCATACGATGGTATTAGTATGCTCAAAATCCTTGAACCTAGTGAAATGGCACGTTTATGACGTACGTGGAATGGAGCAAGTTCCTTGGAGTCAGCCGGTCTAATTAGGGGTACAAGGTATGCTGACTAGCATTTCCCAGTATCTGACTTTTTATGAAGGTTCCCTATGACTGGAACACAGCTATAAGCAGTGTTGCCACAAACTAAATAAACCTGTTCCGGTAATGCGAGATCTTTGGATTCAGTGGTGAAGCTGATAATATCATTACTACAGTCACTCATACCTAGATGAAATTCATCCAGAGCATAGAAGTTAACACAACGGCTGCCGTTGGTTAAGGGATGGACCGGAATGGGAGGTGCTGGTTTGGTACAATCTCTACTCTGAGGTCTGGTTGGGATTAAGGTTTACTACAATTATGTCTACTCCAGGTTGAGTGTGTGACTTTAAAATCATTTGCCCAGGGGATGCCCTGTATGCCCATCTCCAATTGAATAGATGCTGTATCTGGTATGAGAGTACATGCAGGTTTTTTAACACTTCACTGTCCGGTGTGCAATTAGTCTCCCCGAGAGCCATTTGCACTTGATATCGTAACCCTTGTTGGACATCATTTGTAATAGGTTAATCTAAACAACATCACTTGATTAATACCTATAGGTCTATTTTCAGATTGAACCGCTTAACTGCAAAACGTACAACTTCCACCCTCACAGGCAACTGTCCTCTTCGCTGTTGTCGCCGTTTGGAGGAGTGTAACAGTCTTTATCATTACTCACAAATCGATGAGATAGCTCAGGCCACCCCTCGGCTTCCGTGAATGGAACAGGAACCAGCATAGGTGCTCTAGATGAAGTGGGCATATGCTGACATATCCAACAATTAGACATTCCTTTCGTTAGCAAGGTCATTCACAATAGTCAACGCAATATTGTCAGGCTCGTACGGTGGTGTACGGGTTGGAAGTTCTCTTGACTGTAGGCTTACTTTGCACGCATACTGCCAATCTAGCCAAGTGAAGTGGGCTGTCTCCGTCGTACAGTCTGCAAGTTGAGCACACCAGAACGGGTATTCCCAACTTGTGTCATATTTAGGACTTAGAGTCACTGTGCAAGTGTCGTTTGTCTGACACTGAGTCCTAAAGTCCTCTGAGTTCAGGACTGACCAGTGACCTAAGTGCGGCGTGATCAGCCGTAACATGTAAGCTTTGCAACCCTCCTTTCCACACCCCCCCTTTTGGACATTTGAAAGAGATCGACCTTTGCCTCCAAGTTGCTTTAGTGGGGGGCTGTTCTGGCCTGCGGGAGGTCATGGCCTGTGGTTTACCGGCTTCGTAAATTATTTCAGGTGGTACGGTTTTAGGCTGTGTCTCACTGACACGATCGTGGTTTACTGCACCAGAATGGTGGATTTGCTAAATCAAATGTTCCGTGCACCCACACAGTACATACTCTATCTCTTCTTACCCCGGGA